GGTTGATATGTCATCAGGAATAGTGCTTTTGGACGCCTACAAAAATCAGTGTCTACCAAGCAGTGGTTCTCTCAACCCGTCTCTGTGGATCTGAGACATGAGCACTTTATAGAAAGCAACTAAGACTTTTTGAACGCCTTAACCAAAGATATTTGCACACCATCATGGACATACGGTGGCAAGACCGCACTACAAACAGCGATATTCTTTCGAAATGGTATGAACTTCTTTATAGTCCGACAGTCACGCTGGGCAGAGCACTTATTCAGTATGGGGGACGAACATATGCCAAAGGCAATCTTTTTTTTTTTTTACTGAGCTGAAAGGTGGTTTGGCCGCAGTTTGGCGTAACAGAGATACCCCACAATGACGCTTCTTTAAAATACTAACGAGATGTTTTTAAGTCTCTTATGAAAAAAATCAGCTATTTTACTTTGTTACAAGGTGCAAGTTTACATAACGTAGAGATTTTGTATCACTTGATGCCTTGTACTGAAACCATAATGAATATACTAATTGCAATATTAATGTCAGAACGTAATCAGTTTAAAAGTTACACTGCAAAAACTTTCTTCCAAGTCAATAATAGCCCAATAGTATTACGCAAAAGATGTAAAACGTTACGACGTAAGCTGTGGTTTTATATGCTGTTGGGAGGACTTTAGAGACTTTCTATTCTAATCGCCATGTACAATTACATTTAGAACTAACAGAACGAAAAAGCAACTCTTCAGATTGATAGTTTTTACCCGATCGTTCATTTTAGTCATTACAAAAAATATGCCCAAAATGACTTCGGGTATATATCCTTCCTTAACAAATTATTCATCCGAGCGAGGCTCGGTCACCTGGTACTAAATAAATAGATAGATAGATATATAGATAGATAAATAGATAGATAGATAGATAAATAGATAGATAGATAGATAGATAGATAGATAGATAGATAGATACAAGCATACGAAGGTAGGCCTACAAAGAAAAGTTGATCCAACGAGCTGTTTTAAGAACACATTACTGGGCATGAAGGGAGCGTGCATTTTAAATAGACTAACACCCAAGACATGTTCTTTTTATACTGCATGCTTGAAGTTTACAGCAAATCTAAACAAAACCTGCAAGCCTCTACAAACACCAACAGAGCCAACAGGAGAAAGATCGTGTCTATATAAAGCACGTACATTTAACATGACCTTGTTTTCCGTTGGATGAAAACTGAAAGGAGGAACAGCATGACCGTACTTTCCTTGGGATGAGGACTGATAGAACAGCATGACCGTACTTTCCTTGGGATGAGGACTGATAGAACAGCATTACCGTACTTTCCTTGAGATGAGGACTGATAGAACAGCATGACCGTACTTTCCTTGGGATGAGGACTGATAGAACAGCATGACCGTACTTTCCGTTTGGTGAGGACTGATAGAACAGCATGACCGTACTTTCCGTTTGGTGAGGACTGATAGAACAGCATGACCGTACTTTCCGTGGGGTGAGGACTGATAGAACAGCATGACCGTACTTTCCGTGGGGTGAGGACTGATAGAACAGCATGACCGTACTTTCCGTGGGGTGAGGACTGATAGAACAGCATGACCGTACTTTCCGTGGGGTGAGGACTGATAGAACAGCATGACCGTACTTTCCGTGGGGTGAGGACTGATAGAACAGCATGAAATAAAGAGAGGAAAAATTAATAAGTGTCTATATGACCTAACTGAATGGAATGAAGAATGAATAAATAGACCTACACGACCTAACTGAATGGAATGAAGAATGAATAAATAGACCTACACGACCTAACAGAGTGGAATGAAGAATGAATAAATAGACCTACACGACCTAACTTAGTGGAATGAAGAATAAATAATAGACCTACATGACCTAATTGAGTGGAATGAAGAATGAATAAATAGACAAGACCTAACTGTCTGAGTGGGATAAAGGATGAATAAATAGACATTTATGACCTGATTGAGTGGAATGAAGAATAAATAAATAGACCTACATGACCTAACTGTCTGAGTAGAATGAAGAATGAATAAATAGACCTACAAGACCTAACTGTCTGAGTGGGATAAAGGATGAATAAATAGACATTTATGACCTGATTGAGTGGAATGAAGAATAAATAAATAGACCTACATGACCTAACTGTCTGAGTAGAATGAAGAATGAATAAATAGACCTACATGACCTAACTGTCTGAGTAGAATGAAGAATGAATAACTAGACCTACATGACCTAACTGAGTAGAATGAAGAATGAATAAATAGACCTATATGCACTAACTGAGTGGAAGAAAAATAATGAATAAATAGACCTATGTGATCTGAGTGAGATGAGTCCAAATAGGTAGGCCTATACATACAAGCATATATATAACTTAACTTGTCCAAGAAAAGGAAAAAAACAAAGGAAATTTAATTGTATTGTAATTAATTTCTTTTTTTTTAATTACTCTTCTAGAATGCATCTTTCTTGCTCTATAGCGTTTTTGGTAAAAAAAAACTTTTTGTGGACTTGTCGGTGGGAGGGGAAGGAGAAGAGTTCCGGTCTGCCTAACGAGCTCGGCCAACACAGCCCAGCTTGAGTCAGGATTCAAACCCTAACCCATATACGTAGGTAGCCAAGTGGCTGATGCAACTCAGCCAGAAAAACACGTCATCAACAACAAGTGACTTTCTACATTCAATGTGCAGTCTACAGACAAAATCCTTTGAATATTTGTATAGCATTGTTTGTTTGTTTCCTATTATATTCTAACGGAACTGTTTGTCTGTTTAAAACTACAGACCTATAACTTGTTCTCATATTCTAAAGGAACTATTTGTCTGTTTAAAACTACAGACCTATAACTTGTTCTCATATTCTAAAGAAACTATTTGTCTGTTTAAAGAATAACACTATAACATTTCCTGATAGCATAAAGGAGCTATTGTCTGTTTAAAATATAAGTTTTATTAGAAATTGTCCAGATATTCTAAAACTCTATTGTTCATATTGTTTACGTTAGACCATGACCAATGACGTAAATGTCAAAAGACACACGGAATGTTATCGTTGTATCGTGATCGTTTTGGAGAGAGATATAATGCATGATAATACTGATGCAATTTTAGCCCTCCACCAACACATTAAACCGCCAAATATGAGATATGACATGGAACATGAAACTCCCAACTAGGATGGTCCGATAGGTAGAGCCACACAAAGGGCTCAACATGTCAGAGATAATGTGCTAGAAATATTCTAATCAATGTCTACAAGTAGATTAGTTGCAAGCATTTCAAAGTAAACAATGTTCTCGTGCTATTTGTGATAGTCCCATTTAAAGGGAGGTAAGACCGAGATTCTTTTGATGCTGTCAGATGATATTTGTAGAATGATTGTTAATGTCGACATGACCTAATATTCTTTATTTGTTTCGTAAGCAGATACAGAAAGTTACTTCATACTTTCACTAAACACGTAATCTCCAAAGATAAACTAATAATTGCGTCAATTAGGAATTTACACGATAAAAAAATCGAATATATAAAGCAGAAAGTAAGGCATATGTATGTATATATGTATGTTTCGCATAGAAATCAAAACCGTTCGACCAATCTTGATAAATTTGGTATAAATGAGATGTTATGAGATAATTAAAAAAAAACACTATAACATTCTTTATCCCATAAATTGGGTACATCAAAAAGTTAACTATTTATAGATTTTTTCGTCATAAATGAGAATCTGTAATAGTGATGATAACATACAACATGCTTTCTTAAACTAATAATAGTTAATTACTTAAGTGGCATGTTTAAAATTAAATTATATGACAGACGAGGGCCTTGGGTTTGTTTAAAACCGGCACTGATTTAGAGAATAACTCTTTCTGTTTTCCAGTTTTACATTATCATGAACGTTGCTGTCGGCGGTGTTGGCTTTTTCCCAGACAACTTTGTCAACTCGCCCTACCCCAAGCCATGGAATGACCACACCGGACACGCAGCTACAGCTTTCTGGAATGCCAGGTGATATGTCATCTCATTTAAAGTTCCTCCCTTTTTTTTTGACACGCATGAACACTTTAGTGAACTTTTAATCATGAATTTAATTTATTGTCAACATGAATATTTTGTATACAAAACTAAAAGACATTTTAAAAGTATTACCATAAAACGCTCACGAAAAGAATTATTTTCACTGATAAAGTCGTTGTGGAGATCAGCCTTAGAAAAAGTTAATATTGAGACCTAAAGTGGAACATGTTCATTTCACGAGTTTCTGTTGTCAACGGGGTCGTTTGCGTGATCAGAAGAACCATTAAATTACTTTTCCCAATAAATGTTAGCAACCTAGCTCAGCTGAGTAGAGTTGTACAAGTGACCAAATTTACACTATCACAAGAGATACGAACTTGAACGACTCACTTTGGAAGCCGGGTGTTCTCGCGTGGCCATCCCATTCCTAATGATAAGGAATCCCTTCTAGAGATAGCATGAAAGGATAGGTCCCACCTGTCTGTGTGAATCATAGGAACCTCTCTCTTCTGCTCCGTTGCCTTTAAGGTGAAACGCTTAAATGTTTCTGTTTCTTGTATGTCTGCAGGAACAGCTGGCTGCCAACCTGGAACCTGGACAAAGAAAACGGCGAGGGCGCTGCCATGCAAGTCAACTACATAAAAGTTTGGAAAATGGGGCCCACCCCACCTTAAATGTACTCCTTCCACCCTTTACCTACACCCAGTGTCGAGCTGCTGACAAGATGCTAAGAAAAATGTAGCCGCCAGACCATCTCGTCACAGTGTTGCTCTAGCAAATGTTTTGATTGTTTGTTTCGTCATCGAGATCCAGTATTTGAAGTTGTGTTCTTTTAGGTTCATCTTATTCGTATTTTTTTAAATTAAGTTTTTTAAATAGTTAATTTTATTTTGTGCATGATTATGATTTTGTTCTGTCTTTGTCTTGTTTTTTTTTTTTTCTTAATATCATGGCTGCTAGTAAAATCTTGTAAAGCCTTAGACCCCCCCCCCTTTTTTTTTTTTTTAGACTGCGGGAAAACTAACCATTTGTTGATGCACTTGGTTTTTTGCGTTCAGTTAGTTTGGCTGCTAAATTTTGTTCAAAACGAGGCTGAAATTCACTAACTCTTGATACACATAAAAAAAGTTTTTTTCTTCTTAAAATCTTCATGACAGCGCAGTTCTTTCGATAATCCTTGTCGCGGCGTTATGTTGAACATAGTCAGTGTGTTCCTAAACATCATAAATAGTCATCTTTCTGGAATCATCTTATTGTTAACCATCTCTTCGAAATGTTGGATTCATTACATCAAATAAAAATGTCCAAAAACAAAATTTAAACTTTTTTTTTTGTGTTCTTTTTTTTAAGTTTAGTTTTTTAGCGGCCCCCGAAAGGGGAAAAGACGCTATTAGTTTTGTGCGAAATGTCTGTCCGTCTGTCCCGTTTAGATCTCGTAAACTAGAAAAGATATTGAAAATCCGACATCACAATATTTTAGACCATTCAAAGTTCTGATGCAACGGCTACTTTTTTTTTCTGAAAGCGAAAAATCTAATTTTTAAAATCAGTTATGCAAGCAGTTTTTTAAAGAGAAAAAGCTAATTAGTATGCATTATAACTAGACCTAATTTAAAACGAATAGTAATCTTGTAAACTTCATTTTCCTAAATTATATATACAATAGTGCTACATCATTCTTTTTTTTTTTTTTTTTTTTTTTTTTTTTTTTTTTTTTTAAAAAAAAGGATTGAATAAGAGATTGAGCCTTTTCAAAACAATTTGATCAATTATAAGACATCAGTTAGGCCAGGGGAGGCGCGATGGCTGAGCGCTTAGCTTCCGAACTGGGGGTCCCGGGTTCGAATCCTGGTGAAGACTGAGATTTTCAACTTTGGAATCTTTAGGCGCCTCTGAGTCCACTCATCTCTAATGGGTACCTGACATTAGTTGGGGAAAAGTAAAGGCGGTTGGTCGTTGTGCTGGCTACATGACACCCTCGTTAACCGTAGGCCACAAAAACAGATGAACTTTACATCATCTGCCCTATAGACCACAAGGCCTGAAAGGGGAACTAGTTAGGCCAGGTTCACATCTAACTTTACATTCACTTTCACCTATCCTTTGATCTCGGAGACCGTTGGGGCACTACACAAGATCTTTTAACCTTCTTTCTTCATTCTTACCTCTCATTTGTCTTTGATATAATTTCATTCGGATGTTCTTTCTGAAAATATTGAAGCCTGCCTGGGTGGACCACTTCGGGGGCCGATTTTGAGTTTGTTTTTCCACATAAACTGTCTTTGTAACCTTGTTTGTTTTTTTTTTGTTCTGATTTCTTGAATGTTTTAAATTTTGCTTGAGTTAATCAATGAACTGGCGATGTCAAGATGTACTCAGATGAATACAACTTGAGACTAGGGAAGATATAGGGAGCATTGCTTTCTGAAAAAAAATGTGTTGGAAACAAAAGAATGCTCTTACCAAAAGTCTTACCCTCGACAATGTACATGTGTGTGTATGTAGAGGGAGAATGTCATTGAAGAAGACATACTTCGTAACGAAATTGAAAACTAATTTTGTTCTTTCCGAAATGTATTGTTGTAACCCTGTGACAAGTTATTGCATGAGCTAGACTGTATGAAAGGAGGTTCGAAGCCAAGAGATCTTACTGAGACCATTGAGACAGACAAAAGTATTTGAAAATCATAACTCATATTAATAGCAGCTCCATAAATAGAAATATCACCTTAGTTTTTGTGAGGTATTAAAATTCTCAAGGCTTTAGTTGATAATACTTTGTTGAATTTAAAATAAAAATTTATTGTTAGTTTCAATTCAGAGCGGCGTCCTATAACAGGGACTGATTCAGCGTATACATCCATTTCAGTCAAGTACAATTTCTTTCCCTTGTTCGAGATACCAAACAAATTAATTAATTACAGATAGTTAATTATCTAATTGGTTATTTTTTTCATATTGACTCTTGTGTTTTCAGGTAAACGAAATAAGTATGTTTGATCTGAGATTGGATGTACAAACTTTTTACTAAACAGACTTAACATTAGCTTTGTAATAAAAATAACCTACATTGTGTTTTATATTCTAGTGTTACAGTTTCTGTAACCTTGTAGCTATAATAAAACGCTTCATCATCGAGAACTCCTAGACTGACGTCACACTTGGGATCAATGATGTTCACACTTTCTGATCAAAGTAGAAACATGCCACGTCATGGAAAGTAAATCAAACAGAACGAAGACAAAAGATTGGAGGATTGATGCCCCTTTTTTTGTTTCCTTTGGATCGTATCAGAAGCTTTCTGTATTTGTCATGTCGATTAAGAGAACAAGGTGAAATGAGATCGAAGAATTGATTCTATGTCAGATTTCTGTCACTGTACTAGAGATCTTACTTTCTGTTTTCTTTACGGAAGTGGTGATGACACAACAAAGTTTCATCAAAGTGTCATAAAATTTAGTTGGCGCAAATTAATTACAAGAAAAATGTGAAGATTAATCGCGTTTTTTTTTTTTTTTTTTGCTTTTGCTCCCATGCTATTAGAGGAACATGCCAAAAACTAGAACAGACGCAACATAGAGATGAGATGTTTATAACAAAGGAACATATGAGTAAAACATTTCGTCAAACACTTAGAAACACTTTTGGACAGAAAACTAAAAATTAAAGTAGCAATAATACATACAACATTGAACAGTACATTACCGGTACTTCATAAAATAGAAGACACAAAGATAAAGGCATTTTTCTTGTTCTATATGCTAGGACAAAGTCATACACGCTCCTTCTTCCTGAGAGCTATTAGTGCAAAGAAAGGGCTGGCCTGAATTAGTCAGGAAAACAAATGACTAAAGTAGATTTTAAATCTCCAATCGTCATACACAACAAGATTGACATACTCGAAGAACGGATTTTCCTTCTTGATAGGAACGTCTGTAAATTATAAGATAAGATAAGATAATTGTCCCATACGGGCCTAAAAAGGACGAAAAAAAAACATTGAAAAAACTGTTGACAAACAACTTCAATGTTTAATTTTTTAACAACATTTTCTTGAACATCCCAATGATCCCATGAGTTAATGGTGTGTTAATGATGTGTTAATGATGTGTTAATGATGTGTTAATGATGTGCTTCCTTTATTGTTTTTTCTCTCTTCTATAAGAAAAACATCCACACGTTTGGGTTACGTTTAAATGAAACAACTGAAGGTTAGAAATAAGAGCACTGGTCTCTTCTTTTATAGATTTGTAAAATACCACTCACAAACTGATTGATCAAGAGATTTCTTAAACTGTTTCACGTATCCGCATGAAATTTCCTACACAGGTTCCTTTTACCTCCTATACGCTCACTAAGAACCCGATTCCATTTAGATCTATATGACGGCTACTATTCGCGAGAAATCGCAAGCTTTGTTTTCAAATCTTTGTATTTTATCTTAGGTATTTACCCAAAAGGTCGCAGTCTACTAAGAAGCATAGAACACATTCCGTATTTTTAAAGTATGTTTTTTCTTTTTCCCTAAATCTTTTTATTTTTAATATGCCTTATGTTATTTCCTTTTAGACGCGATCTAAATTTAAAAAAACAAAAAACTATCCTAATAGCATTAATAAGATAGACCTACTAGAGAGACACAGAAAGAGAAAGGAAAGGTACCTGTAACACTATACAAACAATCCTAATAGCATTGAATATGCAGATCTTTTGGTCATCTCGCTACATTCACGAGTTGGTGAGATACACGATTACAATAAATGAAAACAATTTGATATTTCTTTTTATTTAGAGAACAAAAGACCAAACTAAATGTAGAAACTGGAACACGGGAATGTGGCTTTCAATTGCTTTTTTTTCCTCCTTCAGACCTGAAATTGTTGTCAAGTACAAATGCATGTCGTGAGTCCGTGACTAATACCGTACATTGCTTGCATTAAGATTTAAGGGTGAAAAAAAACCAACAACAAAAAATTAAAATGAGTGGGGGGGGGGGGGTGGTTACGGTCAAATTATAATATAGATTGAATTGAGAAGCTGACGAAAAGTCATAGAGTAGATAAGTGAAAGTGCTACTAGAAATAAGTATGTGTCATGAGCGTATTTCCAAATCAAGTCAACTCAAAAGTCTATGTTGGAGAAATTACAAAGAAATTTCAAAGCGCAGGTTAAAAAAACAAAACAAAATGGCGTTTGCAGAGAGCGAAAGAGAGAGAGAGAGAGAGAAAGAAAAAGAGAAAGAGTGCACGGGCCGTAAATTTCATTGTAGCAGTTACACTAATTCACATGCTAAAAAGTATTGCTAGATTGATCGTTAAAATGGGGCCTGTTTATTACAATAAAAAACATAAAGCATGAGAACAAATCAACGGACGTAGCCGGCTGTGTACTGCTAGTAAATTCCAGACGTGACTTCAAAAGAGAAGATAATTACACCCTTACGTGTATCTAGGTCTCAATCTTCATGCGTGATAATCAATGACTTAAGCTCTGAGATTTTCATTTTTGAGTGAAAAACTAGAAATAGCTTGATTTTTTGTATCTTTAATGTACAGAATAGAGGAAGGATTGATAAGCTATTATTTCTAAAGGTGTATGATACTTTTTATGTAAACAAGGAAATAATGGTCTCTGCGCCAGCTGACCATTGTATCATAAGGTTGTCACCTTTGATCTGGGTCAACATTGGCTAAAAAGTGGGGTTCTTGTTGGTGCTGTTAAAGCGGAGGAACCTGAGTCGAAATAAGAAGAACTGGTAAACCTGAAGACTTGGACTGTGTAGGCCTATGTAGTTGTCTTTATCCTTTGACATTCATCCTCCTAAAATTCACATTATTATCAATACAACAAAAATAAAAGAAAGGAAAAGAAAGAAAAGAAGAATAAAAACAATAAGCTTCATTTCGTAACCAGGTTTCCGTAGTGTAGTGGTCATCACATCTGCCTAACACGCAGAAGGTCCTGGGTTCGAAACCCAGCGGAAACATACTTTTTTTTTTAATTTTTATATTAAATGTCCGAAAAAGACTGTAAGGGGAGATAATTGCTGTGCAAACAATAAAACTATTTCGGCCTCGTCTGGAAGTTTACATTTTCTTTGGTGAGCACATTGACTTTTTACCAAGCTTATATGAACTCACTCTGTCTGTCTGTCTGTCTGTCTAGTCAAAAGTTTAAACACGATTTTTCTCCCATTTCCCATTCTGGGATCAAGTTGATACTTTGCGAAATTGTTCATTGTACCTGACAATAAATAAATAAATAGAAAAGATTCATCAATTAGTTAATTAATTAATTGTGATTAATTATTTTGCTTGATATCG